ACACAGAGATTATTTAATATGGTTTTGTGGTGTTATCGATGAATTTTGATGGTATTATTTACACTTTTTTTTGTGGCAGCGTTCATGGCATTATTTACGGTATTATTCTAGTGTTATCGGGGGATATTGACGTATTATTGGAGAGAACCAGTGGTGTTATTGGAAATATCCCTGAGTGTTATTGGCATGTTTTGCCCGAGCTGGCGTTATACATGTTTTTTGCAGTATTATTCATGTGTTATGGCGGTATTAGTAGTATGATTATTTTAGTATTATTGGTGTGTTGCGGCGGTGTTATTGTCATGTTATTGGTGACGGCGTTCATGATGTTATTTAATTGTGTTATTTCAATATTATCGAGATCATTTTTGCGGTGTTATTAGAGAGATCCAAAGATGTTATTGGCGCGTTTTGTGATGATATTAGCGCATGTTTGCAACTTTTCGTGTTTTTGTAGTTTTTTGTTTAAGTTATTGGCGCATTTTTAAAACAACACCCAAAAAATCGCAATAACAACATAAAAACGCGAGCTGCCACAATACCACTCATATAAAACCAAACTAACACTTCAATAATATCATAATATCACCACAATAACACAACAATAACACTGAAATAATAACATTTGAAATACCATCACAGTCGTCGCAATACCTCCCACTTAAATAACACCACAACAAACCATAATCATGCTTCAATAACAATAAAAAAATCACAATAACATCTATCTAGAAAAAAAAATCACGATGCCTCTCAAATAACACCGCAAAAAAACTACAATAGCACTATAGTCGCCGCAACAACACTATAGCCCTCAAGTCTCTTAGGGACCAATTTCAAAAATATATTTTTTTCTTTTTTTTTAATAATTTTTTTAATATATTTCAAATAAGTTTGTTTTTAAGAAGTTAATAGTATTTTTTAAAATAAGTTCACTTATTCTCAAGTAGTTAAATATGTTAAACATCATATCAAAATATAAATATTAGGAGTCATGCTAATTTTTAAGTGTATTTAAACAATACAAAGGTTGCTTTCAGGGAACATCCCAACATTGACAAAATGATTTACAAGATTTACGTCATAATTTTTTTACAAAATATTTATGTTGGTTGTCTACTAATTAACGTAACCCTCCACTTTTTACACCCAGGACCTGGGAACCGGCACTTGTATTTACACATCTCACGGCACTTGTATTTACACATCTCACACCTAAACTGACATATTTACATAGCACATTGGTACTTTAAACCTATGAATGAAACTATGCGCTGAAAATATGATTACTATGTTTATAAATATAAAAATTTAGCTGTGAAATATGTAATTACATAAGAGTTGGGTGCTATATGTGTAAATGCTTCTAATTAAAAGCAACAAATAACATAGGATTATAGGAGACATTGCAAGAAATTTTGTTGAATTAGCATCATCAATGTTCAAAAGAACAAAATAACAGCATACAATAAAACTTTCGGATACCAATGATCCAAGAAAACACAATTAAACCAACAGATATGTACAAAATGGTGTCAAACAAGCAATAAAAAAGACACAAATCATGTTGAACAAATAGAGTTTTTCTCCAATCCAAAGACACTAATAAAAACTACCAGTTATTTTTTACAATCTTTGGCTTTTCAAGTATGAACTTACCTTCCTTGTACTTCTGTGACTCCTCATAAGCTTTCTCATACTTCCAACCCAACACCTCGTTACAGTCCGAGCAATAAATGTCGGCGACGGTATGCAACCCTGTCATGAGATGGCGATCTTCCTTCGGGCCAACGACTATGTTCATGGCATGAGAAAACAGAAAGGCGCGACCATTTCTCCCCTGAGGAATTGTTACAATGCAAAAAGATTGAGAGACTGATTCACCAAAGTAAGCTTTGATAGCAAAATTTACTCATTTGAAACAATTAAGAAAAAAAATATTGATAATATGAATCAAAGGAAGAAAATTTATGATATCCTGACATGTTTTGATCAGCGTGAGGTTTCAAATTTATTGGATTTGCATTAAGAAGAGTAAAAATGTAAAATTTGATAGATTATTCCAATATTATTACACACATCTCAAAAAAAGGGGCATTTACACACATACGGCCCAATTCCTATGTATTTACATATTTAAAAGCTAAATTTTGTTTCTGTAACATTTGAAAAAATGATGTTGATATGGATAACTTTGCAATTCATGGAAACAAGTCCGCTACTTTCATAGTATTATCAGAAACATAAACATCAATTAACCAAATGATGCAGAAACACAAGCAACAACAAGTTTTAGAAGTTGGGTAATAAGTTATCCTCACAATATTTGCACAAAACTCATCATAGAGAAGAATAATTCACCAAAATAATCTTTGATAGACAAAAAATACTCTATAAAAAAGACAAAATGGATCATATCAATAGCAGAGCAGGTTTCCATCCAATCCAATTCTACAAAATATGGGTCATTTTGTTATTGAGGCAATTACATACAGACCACCCGAAACATTATTATTTACCAATCAAGCATCCTCTTTCATCCATTTTTCAAATTCTCGCTCAAATATCAAAATTTATGGTAAAACCTCAACCCATACTTTTCATTTTTACCAAATTCTCAAAAGTTTGATCTTGTCATGTTAATAATTACCTTGGCGCTTAATTTGTAAATATCAATATTTTGGGTGGTCTGTATATAATTATCCCTTTTATTTTATTTTAAGAAAAAAGACCATCTCCAAAACATTAAAAATTTCTCCTTTTAGGATTTAGGGGTTGTTGGGGATACTATTTCTAGCAAGATTTAAGAACATAATTTTGTAGATTATAAATTCTATTCTGTCTCATTATTCGTTAAATTCATGATTTGTTGAACCTCATCATTCATGAAATCTAATAAATTGAAGAACTTCTCCCTTTTACAAATCTTAAACACAAAATAGACAAACAATTTATGAACATTTAGAAAGTTCTAACAAATTTCATGCAAAACAGCTTTCAGTTCTAATTCTCTCAGAAAGTATTAAATTTGGATTAACAATAGTTACTGAATCAAACTCCAATTAAACCCTAATTGAAGCCAAGAAAAAGCCCCTTCATTTCGCTTCAGACAGAGACAACCCTCTCCAATTTCTAATAATCTCACAAACTAAAACACCCAATGGACCACAAAACCATAATCAGCAACAGATTTCAAAACAAATTTCAATAAATTCACCTGAAAATCTTTGGAAATGACATCATCATGAAAGCAGACATGATTTCCACAATTGCAACAGTTAATAAATCGGGGAACAACTAAATCAGCCATAAGACCCTTATCCCTCTCCTGTCACAAATCAGTCAAGATAACAAGTATTTCGAAATCGGGCCAAAATCTAGCAGAATAATGAATGCATCAATAAACCGAAACCCTAATACCAAATTGCAGAATCCTCAACTTACGCCAAGTAAGAAAGAAATAAACAACTAACTGTGGATTAAAATAATGTGAAAAGGAAGCTTCGTCTTCCGATTTCTCCTATCTCCTCTTCCCTGCTCGAAAAGGATCCGACGGACTGTTATCCACTTGTGAAGTTTGTAAGGAGGCGGAAAGGGAACGTGAAATAGGAAGAAGAAGAAGAAGACGATGATGGCGAAAGAAATCAACAAACAAATAAATAAATAACTTAGAAGAAAAACCACAATCGGGAATCGAGAAAGCGTGGAATGGAGGAGAAAAAAAGCTGTGGCTGAAAGTGACGGAGTTTCTGCGCCACAGAGAAAAACAGAGGCGCCCCCTGAAACTTCATTAATTAGTTATTTATGGTGTCTGTTAAACTTTAAAAATTATTATTATTATTATTATTATTATATTTTTTTAAATAAAAATTCAACCTTAAAAAATTTTTTTGGGGATTAGATTTAATTAAATTTAAGTAGATTATTTAGCTATTTATTTTAACAATTAATAATTTATAGGATGGGAATATTTTGATATTTATTTATTTAAACAGTGTTAATTAAATTAAATAAATTATAATTAATCTAATTTGGCATTTCAATTGATGTTTAATTAATCATTTCTATTATTAATTAAATAATAAGTTATATTCAGACAAATAAAACTAATGCCAATTTAGTTGAGAGAATAAGTTCTTAATTCAGAGTATTTAATCAAATGAAATTACAAGTGATATTAATGTTTTTTTAGTAGGGAAATTTACACACCTAATGCTTTAAAGTTATAATCGCCAACTAAAGCTTCAAAAGGACTATATTGACAAACTTTTTTGTTTTTCAACTCCATGACACTCAGCTCAATCAGTTCATTAATGAGATGGACTACCTGAATATCTTTAATAACTCATTATCTATAATAAATCAATCTCTTACTATCTTTACGAGAAAGTCTATTTAGATCACCTTCTGTTGTTCATTATCCATACTCTTATATCCAACCCTTAAGTGAAGAACTTTCTTGATTCTTTTGGTCACATGCTAACTCTATGTCAAATTGTTTACACCTTTCATATGTAAGAAGAACTATCATGGCCACAGTCATCAAGTCCACTAATCCACCTTCATCTAATAGAGGACCTATTTGGCAATCGTTATTAGTTTCTACGACATATACACTATCTCCAATCACCTTCATCTTGTGTTTTCTCCACCTTTCATAATGACGCTGTCGTAGTTAAGTCAAGCCATCTCAATCTCCATGGAAGGCCAATCTAATCGCTTTTAGTAGCCTTTTGTGACTTTCATATGCCATCATTTTATATTCTTAAACTCATGTTATCTCCACCTTTAAGGCAGGAAAAATTAGACCTTCTAATACCATTGTGTCATGTTTTTTTTAATTTATAAGGGAGTAACTTCTTTTAAGCTTCCACAAACTTTTTATACTATCTAATTGTAAACTTCATATTGTGTCGTTCCCACACCAAGAGAAGACTAACTTGGTCGGTTTTAGTGGCCCCCACAACCTTCCATACCTCAACATTATTTGCTTGAGATCATTAACTCTCTAACTATAAGGTCAAATCAACCTAATCATATTCAATTGACTTTTTAACTTCTTGTGATGATATATATTCATTTTTTATATCATTTTTTTCAATTATAGCGGAGGATGAAAACAAATTAAACCATTTTTGGTCGACTCAGCAACATTTTCGTGTCATTACATTGTTGTCTTCAATTATTTTATTTTCAACATCATAGGGGGTTCGATCTAGCCATATTCAACAACATCTATGAATTTCCTTATGTCACTACATAAATAACATCAGGTTATGCTGTCT